TTAGATTAAAGTGACATATAAAACATGAGGTTAGATTAAAGTGACATATAAAACATGAGGTTAGATTAACGTGACATATAAAACATGAGGTCAGATTAAAGTGACATACAAAACATGAGGTTAGATTAAAGTGACATATAAAACATGAGGTTAGATTAAAGTGACATATAAAACATGAGGTTAAAGTGACATATAAAACATGAGTTAGATTAAAGTGACATATAAAACATGAGGTTAGATTAAAGTGACATATAAAACATGAGGTTAAAGTGACATATAAAACATGAGGTTAGATTAAAGTGACAAGGAATTTACCAGTGAACTATGGGTGAATGTGGCGAACAACAGCCAGAATCAGGAAAACTTCAAAAATAAAACAATTATCAAACCCGAGGTAGGACCATTTGGTTATTACCATGTTCTTTTAACTCTGAATACCAATACAGATTCAACTTAAACAACTTTGTGCCGAATTATTCATCATACGACAGTCTTAATGCCTTTTTTTTTAAGTAATCCTTATTATAACGTGGAAATGTAGGTTGTGAATAACTTAGTTGTCGCAAGTGGAAGAACTGCTGAGAATTGTACAATATTTTCATGTTTGTGTTTCATTGTACTAAGTAAAGAAAGTTTATTTTCTGAAAGAATTTATGTGTACACATTATAAAATCAAGTAAATGCGAAGATAAAGAAGCTTTTTTTGTCATAAATAAAAAATCGAGACAATTTCTACCTCTAGATATGGTCCGTAAAATATCAACTTCACAGAATATCTGTTAAACTATTCTATAAACATAGTAGTCCACCGAGACGATTTAAAAACTCTAGAAAGTTTCTACTATACAGTCTAAAAATCAGATGATTAGATCAATTTCAATGGTATTTATTATTACTATTTTACATAATCCAAGTGTTCTGTGTGTTATATTTTTGTATTAAACAGGGTAAAATATATACTTTTCCAGTCAGTTATACATGAGTTTGTATTGTGTGATAATCTAAAAAAAACAAGCTTTGAAACTTTTTTTATTAAAGAATGTGTAAAGTTTTACAGCTAATGTATATATATATATATATTTAATGTTTTATTACCAGTGGGTCAGCGGTAAGTTTATGGATTACAAGGCTAAAATCCAATGTTCGATTTTCTGCGGTGGACCTATTGTGTAGCTTTGCGTTAAAACAAAGAAAGAAAAAAAACACTATACTTGTTGATCTTTGCTGATCAGAGCGTAGTAACATTTATAAAGTATCTTTTTTTTTTACTGCAAAGGTTTTTCAAGTGCAAAGCTATTTATGCTCTATCCACCGCAGGGATCTAACCCAAATTTTGTCATTATAAGCCCCCAGTCTTGCCGCTGAGCTATCAGGGGATAAAGACCAAACTATTGAAGCAAGAATACGTAGTTGAGAACGTACTATTCGTACTAGCCTCAGCTAGAGACGTGTTCACTCTTTGATTTAATTAGTTAAAGATTTCCTTCTACAAAGTTTATTTGTGAGGTAAATAAGAAAATAAACGCATGAATATAGACTGGACTGTCGTTGCTGTAATCACAGTGCTTCTATTAATTAAAAGAATTTTTCTTGTATTACAATTTTGTTTTATTTTTAGAATCGAAACTCACTTTAAGAAACTATATCACCATATTAAGTTGAATCTGTATTGGTATTCAGAGTTAAAAGAACATGGTAATAACCAAATGGTCCTACCTCGGGTTTGATAATTGTTTTATTTTTGAAGTTTTCCTGATTCTGGCTGTTGTTCGCTACATTCACTCATAGTTCACTGGTAAATTACTATTAAGTTGAATCTGTATTGGTATTCAGAGTTAAAAGAACATGGTAATAACCAAATGGTCCTACCTCGGGTTTGATAATTGTTTTATTTTTGAAGTTTTCCTGATTCTGGCTGTTGTTCGCTAC